ACGATGGGAGCTAGTGGGCTGACAGTAGTTTTTATAAAAGACGTGGTCCATGTGGCAAAGGTCTGATCATGACACTTACTCAAAGGCTTGAGTCTCGAATTAGTCACCCAGACGCAGGGTAGGGCCAATAACGCCTCAGGTTGGCACAGATGGGGTGGCAGGGGTCGAGTGAAATATGTGAACCAGAGAGAGGGCAGACGAATCTTACGGGGCGCAGAGAGACTGGGGTAAGACCTAAGGAAGGTGGACCGCGTAACAATATGGCAGACTCCGATCAACATTCCCAGCACAAAGATGAAGGGCAGTGAGAAGGCCGGCGTGGAGTGCGGAGAGTTCTCATGAATGCCACCAAAAAGGGCACACCGACCACATTTAATTAAGCAAGTAAAATATTGTGACAGTGCAGGCGTAATTGGAGGAGATAGGAAATGTGAATAGGCCAGGGCAGAATGGGAGATACCATAACTGTTTAGCTCACGTTTGGTCAAAGGATCGGCTTCACTTGTCTCTTTGACGAGTTGTAATATAGTGCTACGAATGGTAAAATTCACTGACGATGGCGGCGAAACCTCTGGGAATGTACCACGTCCAAGGTCCGACTTTGGAAATAATTATGCATACAATGGACTCAGGACAAGGTGCGTTTCTATAAGTCTTCCTACTATTATGACCAAGTTGCGAAAACAAGGTCAAACAACTTCTAGTATCCATTATATTTTGCGTAGCACAAGTTTTAAGGCTATTTTTTTAATAAGCGAAAATGGGAAATTGTGATATTAATATGGAGTGCGAGGAAGAATTCCTAAATTTTTCAATTCAAAAATGTTTTCTTTTTGGTCATTTTATATGGATTTTTTCAAATTATTGTTGCTATTCCTCCAGCTAGCAAAAATTCAACGTGACCTGCATGTTTTTCCTCTCAAAATTACATTCCATCTACAATGATAATTTCATAATACTATTTATTCCTTGTACCTTTGGCAAAAATCTTGAATAAAACAGCTTAATATTACGCCAAATTTTTCATTAAATTACTTCTATTTCTCCAAAATTTAGGTGAACTAATATTGTCGACAACTTCCGAGAACTCCTTAGCTTGCTTGCTTCAGTTCTTTGATCAGCAGCTTAGAAGACTTATTGAGTCTCTGGAATGCAATGGCCACCACTCTTTACACACTGAGAAAATATGTCTCGATGTGAAAGACCCGCTTTTTTTACGACGTCCCGATGTGGCCGACGACGAAGCGATGGGCTTACTGGATGATGAATATGGAAAAGAGGGGGAAGAATGCGGGAGCTATGATGGTTATCTTCGACAATCTCAATGTCTGGACACTCAGCATTCTGACTTATGGTCTGGCAATGGTAGTCCGGCATGCTTCCAGTCGATGCCAGAGTTGTCGAATAAAACGATTGATCATCAAGACGAAATTCATAGGTATATCCGATTCAAAGGTGGAGTGATTACAATTTAAGAGACCGAATAAGCAATCCCTCCTTTCTTTCTCGCTTGGGCTCCAATATTTTATTCTGCCTAACATCCATTCTAAATATCTGAACTTTTTTGAAAATAAGTACCCTTGCATTCTTGCTGCATTCCTATCCAAATGGCACTCATACCATCAGATTTTATACGGTCTAATTTGAGCCAACACTTAGTCATTCTCTAGCTTGAGTTGAGACATTGTTAAGCCCTGACTTAATGTCCAGTTACCAGTTAGGCCGTTGCTGATCATTCTTTTATTCACTTGAAGGAATAAGCTAGTTCGTAGTTCTCATATAAGCTAATTTGCTGGCATGCTCTGCACTTTACGGCTGAAACCGACACTGCCCCACAAGTAATTTATTTCTTTTGCATCCGCAATTACTATTTGTTATCAGTTTGCTAATCTTTTTTGAATGCCTTGATAATAAGGCTTTTAATTTCTTGCGTGTCGTTTGTCCATACTATGAAATCGGATTCTTCCTCTTTTATTCATGATAAGATTATTTTATCCAGTCATCCTCAAAAGTCCTTGCCTTCTTTGTTTGTCGCTCGGACAAACTTATTAACTCTAATATGAATAGAAAGCAAATGGCAAGGCTCAAGATCGTTTTTTCCCTCTATAACTTGTTGGAGGTATTTCAATTCCATGTTTTATGACTAATCCGATAGTACCTAATGCCGTCAAACTGTAAGAATTTTTGCAAAGCATTGTCATGTTCGATCTTTCCCTCGATACTCCTCATTTGAGACCAACTTACTAACCTTATTCCAATATTTGGCCAAAGGCCTATAGCTCGCCGGGTTCCTTGAACCAATTTTGACCTTATTGGCTCACTTATGTAGCATTTTACTTCCTTTGTGCTTTAATGACCTTTTTTCGCCTTATCTACAGGCTAGCATATCAGAAACATGGCTATGTACATTCATTTTGTTACGCAGTGAGACAGATCCACAAATATACACCTTGGATTACTCTACTCTTACGACGGCTGAATAACATTGTTCTTTTGCTCCGCACTAAATCACCAGAATCTATATGCATGTAAAAAGTTTTTAACAGCATAGCACATTTTCATATTCGTATGCACGCTCACGCACGTATATACATCTATGCACCAGCATGTTAATTTGCCTTTTGTTACGATTACAGGAGCACAAAACAAGGTAACCTATTACTTGGTCATTTTCTAAATAACTGCATAAGTCTTTCTAAATGAGTCCTTGGTCTTGGACGGTTGTCATTCACCAGAAAATAAATTGTTGAAAAGTTAGAATTTCCTATTGTGTCAGCTGTAATAATACAATTAAGCCAATTATCCTTAAAGCGACAGAAGATAAAAAAAATTCAAAATACTCAAACAGATTTCAACAACGGCTATTCTTGCAAACTTGCATATCTTCTCTTTCTCTTCCTCTTTACCATCGATAGAGCCGAAAATAAACACTCACAATAGATATAAGGAGAGGATCTAGTTAAGTTGTGTTTGCGATTTTATTATTCTATATATTTACCCTCATATGGTGAGAGCACAAGGAAATGGAAGATTAGGGAGACCATCGACATCTTTGAGGAAAGAAATTTACCGAACAGGAGATTGGAGGAAGGCAGAGTTAGCGATAACTTTGCCTGTTGCCTAGGTTAACTCAGATAAAACATGAGCACGACAATACAAGCAAAAAATATACGCCTGGATCAAGAACCTATCGCTAACCAGAGGAAAAATAATTGCAAGGGGGGATGAGTATGCCCTCATTGAGTATTGTTTGTTCGAGGAATCACCTACAACTTCGGGGGCCTGGGAATTAAATGATCAGGGAGAAGTATAATCACGATCGTCACGCAGATTTGGCGTTAAGGCCAAATCGGTAGGGTGGGACTGTGATAAGAGGTAAGGGGATAAGTAGATGGGCAGGGACAGAGTGATAGCACAACCACTTCGCTGGAAAGTTGGTCAATGAATTTACTCCACTTTCCCCCTTCAACGGTTTTAGCTTGGTGTTGAGAATGACAAGACTCACTGACGATGCTGACTACGTTACGTCAGCATGAATCTTCCAGTAAAGCCAATCGAAAGCTGGTCAAGAGGAATCCGCCGTCGTTTTCTGTTGGAACCGACCTTCGAATCTCTTCACCTAGCACTTTCACTCGAAATGGAAGTAAGCTCAACAATTACGTTATGATAACCACTATAACCGAAGACTTCGGACGAGGTACGTCCAACTAAGTCACCCTGAGTACACGACCAAGTTGGGAAAGCGGGACCAGGTCACTTCTATACATCTAAAGGAGACTGTAACAAAAATAGAGGTGACACCATCCCGGTCTTCATATCTTCTCTGATATAATTCTTAGCTTCCTAGACATATACCTCATGGTCACAGCGCTATGAAGACTACCATAAAATTAACGGTTATTCCACAAATCCGGTACAAATGTAGGATGCCACCTAGTTAATACTGGGCTATTTCAACGTAAATGGACTGTGAGTTCTATGAAATTACTAATGAATGAATTTATTGCAATTTAATAAGTTAATTTTGGCAATGGAAATTCAGTAGTAAATCTGTTCTGGGTAATCATGGATACTGAAGATATGAATACCAAGATGTTGTGGCCTCTGTTAGGGTCGCAGTCTCCTTTCGATTTATAAAAGTGGGTTGACCTCGTCG